CGTTTTCACTTTCCCTGCTGGGTGTTCAGAAAGCTGAGCGGCATCTCAGGGGCTGATGTTCTAGAATCAAAGAATCATGGAATTTCTCAAGTTGGAAAACACCTTAAAGGTCATGGAGTCCAACCACAAGCTAACCATACTACCCTAGGTAGCATCATAGTGTCTTGCAGATTTGTGGTGCAAGCAGCAATGCAAACCTCTTGATCTGACAAGTCACAGCTCAGGACAGCTTCTTTCAGAAGTCTTGGCAGCTGGATTTTGTTTTATCTTCTTTATCTTTTATTTCTTTTTCCTAAAAGAAATGGAAGATTTATACACGATATGCCAGTTGCAGCAGCCAGGTCCTTAAGAGGGAAGCACCAGCTACCACTATGTGTGCAATAAAAAGCAAGAGGCTTAAAAACCTTGGCACCTACCAGCAATTCTCCCTGCTTAGCTGGAGGAAGAGCTTTCCCTCAGGGCTGTTCAGATGTGGGACAGGCAGCGTTCTTACCACACTGTCCGGTAAGGTGGCTGAGGTTCAGAGGTATGGGAGGAACAGGAGTGTTTTCATTCCCCTTGTCCTGTGACCAGCATCACCATGACCATTTTTCCAACAAAAGTGGTGTAGTAGGAACATAACAAGAGAGTTAGGAGTCTTCTTACTCTCTCCATCTTTTTTTCAATGCCTGGGATTTTACAAAACTCTAACTCTGAAACATATTAAGAGACCGAGCTGCTTACAAAACCGCCAGCTCCACAGGGTTTGCTTATCCCTGGTAATTATCACTTAATATTTGGCCCAGTGCAGCTATCTTTCAGTCTTATAAGGATAAATGTATTTGTTTCACTGCTATCTGAGCTCTTTCTCAACATAAGACTGAAACCTATAGTTTATTATTCCTGGACAGAGGCCTACACACACTATGTGTTACTTCTGTAGTTCCCTCAGTCAGTGAGAAATGTTTTAGTATTATTATCACTAAATATTTTGCCAGACGTTGCGGTCTTCCAGCTTTCACAAAGATAGGGAGGGAAAGGATGTGTGGCTAAAGTGCAGGCTTAAGAGATGGGAGACAGGAGGCCCTTTTTCCTTATCAGTGCCAAACTGCTCAGGGAGAAAATTCCCCTGGCAACGAGAAAGTCTGTAAGGCCCTTAACAAGCTACTATCTTCTTGTACTCATATTTCTCATCCCATCAACTGAAATGAAGCGTATCATTACCACAGGTGCATTTAGCAGTAGGACTCAGGTCTAAATAACCTGTGCAATACTACTGTTTCTTGAGCACAGCTTTCAGCATTTTTTCTTGGTGCTCTTGGAGCTGTATAGACCTAAGTCATATTTTTACAGCAGAAGTGAAAGCTTCTACTCTCTAGACTCCATGCTAAATCCATGATTTCATTGTGCTTAGTAGCTTCTTAGTCACTGTATTTTATTTTTCCTTGTTTACATGTATTTCGTTTCTAGAGTTGGTCTGGAACTATGTACAATGGAGCTTACATGCATAGGAGATCGATACCAATTCATTGAATAATGCTGTGAAAGATACAAATTAAGAAGCAGATACATATCAGGCTGACATCTCCCACGGTTTCCAATGGTTTCCAGTGGAAATGATAAGCTCTAGATGCTTTAAGACCTACAAAATCTTTAATTTATGCAACATTGACAATTTTATTATCTTCATATTACATTATTATATTAACATTAATATCACACCGTGTTAAACTGAAAGTATGGGGTCAGAGCTGGATGAGGCACAATATCAGGGCAAAATATATTTGAAAGAAGGAATAAGCTGATTTCAAACTTCTGAATTCTCTAGTGCCATCGCACTGCTCTCCTGATTTGTCAGTCCCAAATCTTGCAGTAGAGTTTATGAGACTTTTCTTAACAGCTGCCTGAAAATACCACGTGTCGGTCACCTCCTATGAGAATACATGTCCATAATTTCTTAAGAAATGCTCCACTGTTCAAAGAGCAGGAAGCTCATAGGCAGCACCGGTGGCAAAAGAGCCAGAGGACACATTTGCAAAGAGCTGGCTCAGCAGCCAGGGGCTCTAGCTCCCTCAGCTGCGGTCTTACCATGAAAGGAAGAGGGCTGAATTTGCACGACTCACCGAATTGCTGCTCTTCGTATCTCAGACGTTCTGTCAGACTGCCCTGCAGTCCTCTGACCTCAGCAGGAGCTGCTCATCTTCAAAACTCAAGCCTTTTAAGGTACAACTGAAGCGTACAGGTTTTAGAGCTGAACTCGAGGGAATTCCATTCTACTATATTACCCATCCACCTGACCTCTGGGAGATGTAACTGGACCAGGAAAAGAGCAGAGCTTGCATTTTGGCAGAGAAATGGGTCACAGGTGGATGTGGAAGGTCTGTGCTGCCAAGTGCAATAGGACGCTGACCCTGTCCGCCCACTTGGCAGCTGCTTGCTTCTCCCAGCAGCAGGGGCCATAAGGATCCATACCTCTGCTGGTGGTGAGCAACTTAATAGTTCTCCTAATGGCCTACATGCTCTGTGTGCATCCCATGAAATGAGTATGAAAATGGTTCATTACCTGCCAGTGTCACGGGGTCAGGTTTTTCAAAGGTTTTTAGGTACATAAAGTTGCAGGTGGACAGCTAATGATGTTTACAAAAGCACTCGTGTGCCAGATTCTCATGGATTTCAGCGTGGGTTAGGCACATGGAGATAGAGTGTCTTTTAAGCATCCACGTCCTTTGAGAAGTGAAGTATTTTGCATTTACTGTAGTGTCCTGCAGGGTGCATAAGGCTTATTACTACAGAGCAGCTTGTGTGCTGTAAATCCAGCATACTGGCTTACCCTGCAGTGACTTGTTCGTCTTCCCATAGCTGGTGGAACGAAATCTGCTGTGTACATCCCACATATCTACCATCTGGGCAACAATGCCTATTTGTTTTCTGGAAGCCTTCTCTTGAGTTTACTTTTCTTATTAAGAAGGGAAAAAGAGAGAAAGAGAGAGAGAAAAAGAGAGAGAGAGAGAGAGAAAAAGAGGCATCAGTGTCCAGCACACAGCACATTACCAACTACACTGCCAATTAACGTGCCAGAATTCCCTTGCTCACACATGTTATGTTGTTTTGATGTAACTAAACGACAGTTGCATTCAGCTGCTTCTTTCTATGGAAAAAACATCTTCAAAAGAGCAGATGAGCACGACCCTCTTTTTCGTTTTGTTTCCCATTACTTTAATTGTGTATATATTGAACATATCATCTATCGTGGAAAATTGCTTTCGTCTCTCTAACATCTGCAGGACACTACTGTGGCAAAGACTAGTGCATCTGCTCGCACAGCTTTTGCACTCCCCGTTTGTTATTCCATTTCACACTCACAAATTTCAAACCTGTGTTCCTAAAGTTAGCCTGTAAAACCCACTGAACTCATTGGAAAGTGCAGGTGCTCAGCAACACAGCAGATCAGGCCATTTTTGTCTAGGTGTCTAAATATGCTTTTACTGGCTTAGACATTTGAACTCAGTGTTTTTGCTCTGGGAGCATTAATCTTGCATCTCAAGTGTACACTAAATTCCAGTTTGCTTCCTCTGTCTCAGTCTGTTAAAAATTTTGTTCCATGTTTTTATTAATACCATTCAGCAGTTTTTCCTTGGCTCTTCAGCCACGCTGCTTGCTCATTGGTGAGCCCAACATGATCCACAAATAGTGTCCTGTGTGTGTTATTAGATGAATATAACCCTGATGCCAAGGCCAATATTTCTTTTTAATCTCCTTGCATACCATCTTCTGCTCCTTGTAATCCTTGCAAACTAGAAGAGATTCTGGTGTGACCGAAGCGTTGGAAGGTTAGTGCAATTAAGGCTGAGGATAATGTATGCTGTGAGTGGCCCTGCTTAATCCTGTGACTGTCTGTGTGCAGAGCATGCATATCATCTCCGGATGCCGTGGTACACATGTTAACAATGGGAAAAGTACTCAGTGGAAGAATGTAACTTTCTAACTCAGCTGCTGCAGTTGGCAGAGGCCGTTCCTCCCTCAGTCCGCAATTTGTCTTGGTCTTGTGACTGTGTGTGGAAATGCCCCAAATTGTTTTTCTTACATTTTCACCTGCAGGGCTTTAAATGAGAGACAGGAAAAGCATTTCAGCGGTATTTAAATAATGTTTTTCTAATTGCACAAGTTGCTTTTAAAAAAAAAATAAATGCGTTTTTCAAAACATTGGTTTAAGGATGAAAATATGCTGGATGGAGTGAAGAAGGAGGAAGGAAACAGCAGAGTTCCATATGCTGAGATCTTTTTAACCCACTTCCTCGGTGAGCGAGAGCTGGTTTTAGGGGAGTGAAAACAGATTTGAAGGTGCCTCCCTTCAAAGGAGCTGCCTGTTAATCTCTCTAACAAGTGGGAGCCTTTCTGAGAGCCATTGACAGCCTGGAATATCTGCCATGGACAAAGACATTCATGGCAGGGTTCAGCCAGTGGTTGAATCCACGTGAACCAGGGAATCTGGGAAAGGATCATGAAGAAAGCTTCTAGCTGGTATATTTTCAAATCTGAATAAGTAATTCTGTATAAATGCCCAAGTGTCCAAAATCTCACATTAAACATATTCAGAAGAATCTGAATATCTCTCTTTCCCACAGGTAAGTTCCTAGGTTCCCATGACTTTGTACTGGAAATAGGCTTGCTAGATACTCTGAAAAACAAAAAGGGAAAGAAAAAAAAGAAAAAAATAAAATTGATGCTTCAGAATCAATTTTGTTAATTAGCAAATCACACATATTTTTTTCCCATAAACTAGATGTCCAAAAAATGAAAATAAAATCTGAAGTGCCGAAACAATGAAATGTTGTGCAACAATCAGCTGAGTGCTTATTTTAAGCACAAAATCTTGTGTTTTCACCTGAAAACCAGTGCTCTGGTTTTTGTTGTTGTTAGTTTGTTGCTTGGTTTCAGTTATTTGTTGGTGTCTATTTGGGGATTTTGTTTTGTTTTTATTATTGTTACACAGATTTTGGTTTCTCTTCCTTGCTTGGTAGAAATGGCTTCTTTTGAATCACAAACATACTGGTGGCTGAATGTCGTTTCAGCCACCAGTAACTCAAGTCCTTGGTAAAACCAGCTCCTGGCTAAATTCATCACAAGCCACAGGTAAGAGGGCAGAAGCTTGCAGCAGTGTAAACATAAACATTGATTTTGTACAAGTACGTGCGCAAGTCGTTTACACATTTGCGCCTCAATCCTGTGTGCAAACTAGAGGAAGGATAAAATGTGCCGAAAGCTGTGGAAATTGAACTGGGAGAGTCCTTGCAGATTTATTAAAATAAAACAAAACAACACTTCTCTAAGTTTTTCCACCCCTGGCTGCATTGTGCACGTCGGGTCAATCCTCTGCTGAAGTCAGTGGGAGCTTGCCTGGTTTCAATGGAAATAGGTTTTGGTCCCTCTGCTGTAAATCCCCTGTTAAGGAGAATCCTACTGATCAGAAGTGACTCATTCAGAAACAGAACTTGTGATCTGCTTGAAAAAAATCCTTTTCCATATTTAGTACTGCTTAAAATATGTTATTTAAAAAATAGCATAACAGATTATCTCATGAAATACAACTGAAAAGTTCCCTTCTCTTTTGTTTTTTTTTTTTCAAACACAGCCTTTTCCTTTCTGCCCAGCTCCTCCTACTCAAAAAAAAAAAAAAAAAAAAAAAAAAGTGAAGTATACAATAATGCCAGTAATTACGTGTTACGAGATTTTTATTGCCTTGCAATTTATTACAAATGTTTTTGTGGGTGGTACAAAGTATTTGAACAGGTTTTCAAACTAGTCAGAAACGTATTAAATATTGGTGATTGTTATTACAGGTTGTGTTTTATGGTCTACGGTTGATTTATGGGTACAAAAACAAAAAGTCAGTGCAGCGTGGCTCTCGCAGCCCTCTTCTTGTGGCAGCACTTCACAACGCAGAGCAGGCCTCTCCCAGCTGAAGAACAAAAACTTGTCGTTACAGAAGCAGAAACAAAGCATTATGCACACCTTGCTGCTTCCATTACCTCAGGTAGGGTTTGTAGACAGTCAGTATTTCCACAGAGCTGTTTTCAAACTTTCCGTGAATCTAAATATGAGTAAGAAACCTGAACTGTAGATTTTGGATTCAGGATGTTTTGCTCAACTCGATGTTGAAGATCACTTGCAGAGCAGATGTGGAAATATCTTCCGTAAGAGAAAAGTATTACTGGTTTGATATATTCCCAATTAAAAACCTGTGTGATACATCCAGGGAAAGGCACCAGGCACGTCATGCCTAACAACTAGAACATAAGGGTACCCAGATTATTTCATGACACAGAGCTCTTATACTGTGCAGCAGTGACTACTAATCAAAAAAGGACTCGTGGATATATTTGCCCTACAGATGTCCTGCAGATACCAGGTTAGCTAGCTGATTTTCTCCATGCAACCTCCATATCCTATACCATTTCAAAAATAGATCGTAACATCAACCACACTGTGCCCAGCGACCCCGTTCCCATTCTCTCCTCATTTATTTTATTTTCACCATTGATCACTCATCAGAAATTGTCCCTGTCCTGATTGCTTTGAGAACAGATAAAAATGAACTGCATCTAACAGCAGAAAATCTTAAATGTGAACAGGATGTTTTCATATGGATAAGAAACATGCTTCTGCCTGGAGCAAAAAGAAGAAAAAGAGAAAAAAAAAAAAAAAAAAAGGAAATTCAAATGCAATAGCTGTTTATGTATGTAAGGATTTTCCTGACCCTTCTTCCCTACAGCTGAGAGGAAACTGTATCTCCCTGGTAAATTTGAACTGGGTACTTTCTCCACCCTGTTTTCTGATGGAAAGTCTAGAGGGAAGAGGCCATGGCTGTTGCACACGCAGAATTGGTATCACCTTTATGCACAGCTTGGTATGGCTGAGCATGCAGAGCTTACAGATAACCCACTCACTGTCCCAGAGACTGGGCACTGATTTGTCTTCAGCTGCCAGAGGTAGTCGTGACTGGGAAATGAGTCACATCTCCCTCTGCTTCTGTTGTTGAAGCACAGGGATTACCAAACTAATGAGCTGTAGGGCTGTCTAGGTTTCCCAAAATGCAAGGTCCCAAATTTATAAAAAAAAAAAAAAAAAAAAAAAAAAAAGTCATGGCCTGGGCTTTGGGCCATCTCTATGTACTTGCATTTCAGCCAGCAGCAAAAGGTTTCTGCTTCATTTCAGTCTTCAAAACCCATAGGATTTTTTTTCTCACATTCTCAAAAGCAGTGAATAAGATTGGTATTGCTAAGCACGAAGAAAGAGGTCCAAATGACCCTCTGGACTGACAGGAGAGAGGAAAAATCCCAAGTAGAAATATATTCAAATCCATGGTGGGCTGATGAAGAATAGTCTCATTTTTTATCTGAGTTTCATTCTGGCCCTGAAAGCAAATCCTGTCTAGACCAAGCAAGGATCCTCATGGACTTTTTTTTCTCAGCCCCTTCCTTCCACCATGCTGTGCCTGTCAGTGTAATCCCAGACTCTGCCTAAATGAGAAGATGATGCTGCACACACAGCTCTGCCCCAGGTTGCAGACGAGAGAAATATCCTTTATCTTAAGCTACCTTTGGAAAGTATAAAAGGATTATACCACTGAGAAAGGGAAGTATCATCCTGAATGACAATAGAGGCTTTTATTTATTCATTAGTCGTTGGAGATTTTGGTTGAATAATTCTGTTAGCTGTAAATCTTTGGCACAAGTTTAAAGTCTCTGCAGAATCCATTAAGGCACGAGGCTGTAGCAAAGAGGCGGTTCACTCCTTCTTTAGTCATTTAGCTCCCATTTACATCAATGGAAATTAGATAATTCACACATCTGTTTCTTCCAGTGTGTGCTTGGAGTGCTGAACTTCAGCACTGAAAAGGGCTGATTTATATGGCTCAGCAACTCACCTTCAGAAGTGAGGTGCAATTACAGTGAATAAAATTTGGCAGTCAAAGTGGAGGCACCTAAAATCCTTATTTGTTTTTAATCTATTTTGTCTCCATTTGCTTCTCCGTAGATACAGACGCCCCCCAAAATATGTATTATTCTCTAGGTGAGTTTGCATCTTCCATCTTTTTAACTTCAGAATTAGGGTGCATTGATAAATACTCCTTCTCCTAACTTTGAGAAGGGCTTGATTTCCTTCACTATTCCTTGACGTCTCCTAAATGTTTCTTTTCATATTTACTATTTGCATTTTTCATATTTAATAGTGGAAATATACATGCCCATACACAACCTTATGCACCCATAATTATGGCATAGGTGATTACACTTATGGGCTATGAATTTTTTGCTTGCTGTGGTAAAAAAATACACTTTAAAATACAGTTGTCTTTTGTAATATTGATAACACATACATTTCAACATCATATAGACATCACAGAGGTATGTTTAAATTCAACACAACTCAAAAGACAAACAGCTGTTTGAGAATATATTCTTTTAAAGAATGTATTCTATTGTGACTGGGTGAGCCACCTGCACTTAAATTTCTCATCAGAAATCACTCTTTCTCGTCTTTTGATGGTTACGTTGTTGGCCCTTTGTTTGCTGTTGTTTTGTTGGTTTGTCTAGATCACTTTCAGACAGTTAACTGCAATGAGGTTTCAGAAATAAATATAATAATTCAGGTGTTGTCAAAGCAGCCTGAGCATCCTGCTCTTGCAAGGTGCAAGTGCTCTGAGGGCGATCTGACTCTTAACTCTGACAACAGAGAAATCACTCCTATCTTCTTTTGGGTGCTAGGGCCTCACAGCACCAATCTCTAATCAACACTGTGGTTGTGAGAATCTTTATCTGCACCGATGTTCCTGCTTAGTCATATCACAGCACACAGCCTTGCCCCAGCAGTGAGCCTTCCTTCTCCTTAGGTGCTCAGTGTGTATTTGGGGCAGGGAGTGTGGCCCTATTTTGTATTTTCGTGGACACATATGTAGACATCATCAAGGCAACTTGCTGGGTTGGCTCTTCCTCAGAAATGTGCTCAGTGACCTTTCCAGGCACTAGCTAGGAGAAGCCATCATGATGCTAAATGAGGACTCCATATGCTGAGTACGGGAAGCTACCTAGTATCCTTTAGCTACTGGCCTTTCTCGTGGGATGTGGCTTTTTCCTAAGAAAGGCAGAAAGGAAGCAGCCAAGAGGTCCTGATTGGGATGCTGCAAAGGGGAGAGGCTGAGCAGTCATCACTCGTGCCTCAGTGTGTGGAAAAGAGAATGGGCTCACCTGCTCAGCCCAGCCCTTGTGTTCAGAGGAGGGGTGACTAAGTGAGGATTCCATCCTGTTTCAGAAGGGTTGAGCTTTTCAATTCCTTTTAAGAGTACCCACATTTGTGATCAGACATTCTTCTGCTCAAATGTTGTTCCTTGTTCCATCATGTTGTTAAACTGGAGGTATGGAAATGCCCCTGAAGCCCCAGGGCTGTGCATGAGACCCACTTAATGTGGAAGGGATGGATGTCTATTGAGGTTCACCACCCTGGAAAGAGGTCAGAGGTGGCCCTGGATCGTGAGAAGCACAAGGAGAGACTATTTGACTTGAATGTTGGGGTTGGAAGTAAGTGGGATACCATGGATGGAGCCCACTCACAGCAGACTGGTGACCTTACACGATGGGACTGAGCCAGGTTGTGACAGATGGTTTCCCTGGATCTGAGACTGGATCCTGGCTCTAACTGTTTAGTTAATTAATTGTGAGGCACATACAAATTAAACTTGGTAAATTTTGAATGCGGTATAAAAGCCTCTGGTTTTGTAGACAGCTTAAATCTGATACTGATGTAAAATGATGAGTGTAATGTAAGTTAATATTAAATTTTAGAGTTTTTCTCCTGGGCCTTGCCTATTGTTTTGCAGGAGTAACTCTGAAAGGACACTACTAAAAGATCTGTAACAGAAGTGGTGAGTTTTGTTAGTTAGGCAAAACTGATGGGATGGTGATGTTACTGGCACTAACAAGTATCTCAGTAAGGTTCAGCTCTAGCTGCTCCTCTGAGTAAAACTGGCTTGGTGAAGTATATTTTTCCATAGCAGTCATTAAAGTATTCTATCTTGTGTCAGTGAGGCTAAAGGTCCAATTTCTGAGGCTGCTTCCTGAAATGTCGTGCACAGTTAAGACAGAAAGAAAAAAAGACAGAAATACCCACATAGCCCCACGGTGATGGACTTCTCTGTGACAGTGGGAGCAGTGGGTCATCTGGGTTCACTGCTGTGCTGTAGGTGCAGGCTGCAGCTTGGGGAAGGGCTTTGATTGCCGGATGTGAGACAGCATTTTGTGAAGTGACTGGAGCAAGGGGAAACTTTGGCTATGAAGACTTTCCTTGCAGACACACCCTCCATGCCAGCCCTTGCAGGGAGTCAATTGTCCCAGCTAACCCTCCAGAGGAATTGCCTCCCCTTTGGTGAGTTTCCAGATACTGCACACACTTTGAAGTGTTGGTTGCTTGCTTGGTTTTTTATCCGAGCAGCACAACAAAAGGAGTTGCCACAGCCCAGTCTCAGGGCAAGAGCCCCATCCCGTTCCATGCCTCCTTTCAAGATGTGAGTGAGCCTTCTGCTCCCAGACAGCCTATTTTACCTCCATGGTGGCTTTTTCCAGCAGGTTTCCAGGAATGGGAACAGCTGGAGAAACTGAATGTTATGCTTCATTGATTGGGAAAATTTGCTGTACTGCAATATTAGTACTCACTGCCTGTTGTGGTCACCAAGCACTGTCATCAAAGCGGTTTCAAAAGGCTGGTAAGGAAGTGGGATGCACTGAAGCTCTCACACTTGAGCAATACAAGTCCAGAAGGGTAATGTGGGGAGTATGTTTATCATGTAAACAGTGAACTGTCTGTAAAAAGGGAAGTTTTAAGCAGTGATGGGGATGTGGGAAGTGAGAAACCATGAATTAATGAGAAACTCTGTTGAGGCCAAAGTAATTTACTGATTAATCTCGATTTCACTTCTTTGGTAAGAGTAAAGGGGGACACTCAGGCAAATAAAGATGACGTAGCATTGCATATAAATCTTTTATTGACATGAATTTTGAGATTATTCATAAATTACAGTAGGAATTTTATGTTTCTCCTGGACAGCTGTTTCAAACACATTTTCTGAAAATGGAAATCCTCTCCTGTATGTCTACCTGTAAGTCTTCTGTAGAATATTTATGCTTCAGGGGGGATTTTGAAGAATTAAAAAAAGTCACTAAAAATACCTGTGCGGTGATGTGATTGGAAGCAACCCAAATTTCCAGTCTGATTTCTTGGGACCTTCCAAGCATAGTAACAGGTTTCTGTAGAAAATCAGGAATCTCCCCTTTCTATTCTGCCAACAAACAGTCCTCAAGGCGATGTAGAAAATTACTTCCTTCTGATATCAGTATTTAATATGATAACTTGTTTTTTTTTAATTCCACACAAAATTTCTGGGGAGGATTTCTCCAATTTATGGAAATAATGAGAATAGCAAGATGACAGAAAATAGCTTTAAATTCAGGAACACAAGATACAATTCTACACACATTTTTTAGTGAACCTTCTGGAAACTGACTGTTGATATGACAAAATGTCCATCACAGACTATATAGATTTTGGGGTTACAACTTGTAGTCCAGATATGTGCCATTTAAAAGAAAAGAGAGTGAGAGAGCTAGTTAGAAAGAAAGAGAAAGGGAGAAATAGAGAGGGAAAGAAAAATGAGAGAAAGAGAGAAGGAAGGGAGGAAGGGAAGAAGGGAGGAGGCTGGCAGGCAGGCAGGCAGGCAGGCAGGAAGGAAGGAAGGAAGGAAGGAAGGAAGGAAGGAAGGAAGGAAGGAAGGAACTTTTTTTACTTTCCAAATGTGAAGTTCTCAAATTAGAATGGTGTATGTTGCTGGCTTATTTACAGGATGGAGATCCATTACCTAGAAAGAGATTGGTGATGTATACAAAAGAGAAACAACCATGGTTTCCAATTGGAAACATCTTTGTGCTCTAATCCTACCACACTGAAAGATGCCAGACTGTTACCATAGCAATGCTATTTTGACACATTGCTTGAGCAAACTGGCCTTCTGATTTGAAAGACCATCCTTCATTCATTATATATGGTTTAGAAAACGAAACTTCACTCTCTAAGTTTGCCAAGAGTAATCAGAGTTTTCTAGGTATACCAAGATATTTACATGAACAATTTTCAATAGAAGGAGCTAAATCTCATAAAGTACTGCAAGTTGCATCTGTATCCAGAACAGGAGTTCATATAAATTCACTTCCACATGCTTTACCTGCTGTGTTTTCTCATGCTTCTTCCTTATTCTTGTTCATTTTTTGCTCAGCTTAAGAACAGGATGCCTAAATAAATGCTTTCTGTTACATCATCTATATAATTAAATTAGCATACAATATTGGGCCCTGTGTTTCTGAAGCACATTACCATGGTTTCAGTAGACCTCATGGAAAGATGAGTTAGAAGAATTATCTGGCTGTTTGACCAACTAATTCAAAAAAGAAAATAGGAGAAAACAGGAGTAAACTTCTGTCTGTAGATCATCTTGTTGAACTCCAGGATAAAGGAGAAGTAGGGAAGAAATTTTCTCAGAATTATTTCCCTGATCCTGCCTGAATGAGAGGTAGGAAAGCTTTCACATAGAGAACAGGAAAGAGAGGAAGTACAAAAACCAGCAAGTCTCAAGTCTTCCAGCTTTCTGTAGGTGAAGAGAATAACAGCCACTGTAGTAATTGTGTAGTAAGGCGTGTTGAGTCACGATGGCAGAGCACAGTCGATACCAGATTCTGCATCCCACAAGATATCTTAGGGCCTTCTGAGTGCTCTGTACTTGAGCCAATACTATTATGATGCTAAATTAAAAGTTAATCTATCAGCTTCATCTTCCAAAGGCAATTCTCCATTTAAAGATTTGGCCTTCAAGATGAGAGTAAGGCAAAGTCTCCCTGTATGCAGGTAGATTTAATTATTCTGCTGCATGCTTATGGAGAGATCAGGGCATGTTTAGCTCATGTGTAATTGCCATGCATACATTGTTTCTAGAGTGTTGAGGGACGTGGTTTAGTGGGAGCTATTGGTAATAGGTGAACGGTTGGACTGGATGATCTTTTAGGTCTTTTCCAACCTTGGTGATTCTATGATTCTATGATTCTAGAGTGCAGCTGGCTTGCATTTGACAGCTCAACACACGGGAAAAAGAAATATTTTGTTGCATCTGTCCCTCTGGATTTGGTTCTGTTGCTTTTATGTGTTGCAATGTAAGGTAAGTTTTGCAGTATTACTGTAAAAATCAGAGTTCAAGAAATGAGAAAACTTAGGGAGGCAGGGTGTGCTGTATCATGAATGTTGTTCCTGTAGTATAGCTTGTACTTTATGACTGAATGATTAATTCCTTGAAGTTAGCCATTTCATGTGATCTAATAGTGCAGAGGTAATGCACTAAAAAGGTAGAAGCACGTGAGAGGTGACGTTCACCTCCAGATTGCATCACATGAGATAAAAGCAGCCATTTGAAAAATAAGTTTTTTACAACACAGAAGGGGTAACGAGGGAGTTTTAAAAACTAAAAGTCTACACAGTTTGATATACTTCTGAAACTATTCTGAACACTAATAGATGAGACGTGCCCACGGCGTTGATAATTCCTATCAAACTCTACACTCAAACATTTTTAACTTCCCAGGTGACACAGATTGCCTGGCCATGTTCCAGAGCATCAGAGCTCACAGCGTTTCACATCTAGTACTGCAGTTCTGATGCTGTGTGTGTAAGCCAAGAGAGCAATTTCTGCATGTAAATCCTGCTTGGGTCGAGGTCCTGTCTGAGTTCAGAGACTAAAATTTCAGTCCAGATTTGTTTACTTTGAAATCTTTCCGGATCTCTATTGTTTGTTATATTCTCTATGCCTTTTAATGCAAGAGCTTAGTGCCTGTAATAAATTCACGGGAGACCACAAGGAGCTTCTTGCTAATTTTTCACCACCTAATTGAAAATAAAGTCGAGAGATTTCTTGTATTTCCATGATGCTGATGGAGAAGTGGTGTCCCTGAGACTCATAAAAATGTACTATCTGTATCACGTCTTATAACAGTTAAAATTCTGGTTGGGAAAACCATCCCCATGTTCCAGCCCCTTCCTGCTAATGGCTCCCATTAGGTGATGCTGTCATTATACTTACTGGATCAAGTTAATGTGAAAGCTCTGATAATCTCTCTGTCTAGTGCAAGAAAGACCTAAATACTTCTCTAGACTTCCAAAGAGAAATTTAGAAGACTAGGTAGAACTGTGAAAATATCTAACCATTTTTTGTATGGCAGGTCTTTTGTAGACCCCTAAAAAATGACGAGCAGTGTGATGGTAACAATATAAAAACTTCATTTCCATTGATATTTCTACCATCAGATCAAAGCATCACAATATTTCTCCTGGTATCAAATTGGAAGGAGGTTCTGTTTCCATCAGGGGCTGAGAACTAAAAATACATAGAGCCTAAACCTAGCAGCCCCATTCAACATCTGCATTTTGCATGGTTCCTCCACTACAGAGTGCTATTGGGTTCTTATTATCCTCCTGATAGTCACAGACATGCAGAAACACATCCCATGGGGCTGTGTGCATGGACGTGTCTTCAATAGGACTTTTCATACAGCAGTCCTCCACATGAGCAATCTGTCAGAGTGAGGCTCTTTTGCTCTAGTTCATATGTTCTTGAAATCCAGAGGGGGGTCTGATTTCATGGGTCCAGCAGAGGTTTCTCACAAAAAAAAAGAAAAAAAAAAGAAGCATTTTCAAGATATTCAGAACCACAAATCCAGCCCCCATTGAATTTTGGTTTCCCTTACAGGTCGTTATTGTTTTCAACACTTTATGGCAGCGCTGGCCAAAATCAATCTTTTACAACTTCACTTCCTACTTATACTAAAAGAAAAAGGTTGGGGCACTTAATTAGAGCTATTTATATTTTCAAAATGAGGAAGACATTCTGAAAAAGAAATTGTTTTTGCAGCCAATTCAGGGACCTTCTGTCTACAAAATCTGCTCTGGACACTTTCCCACCGCAACTTTCTTTCCATTATTAGGAACTTACACCATGTTGTATTTGACTTGGTATTTTGCCAGAAAATGTTCTTTAGGTCTCTATAGTACAAAATCTGACAGAAAGCATAACACAAGGAAAAAAAAAAAAAAAAGGTATTTTTAAGTCCCTACTTTTTTCCATTTTCCCATCAGAAATTTTTTTAAAATATATTAGTAATATAAATCCATCTCTGTTCCAGTTTTTGCTGTAGTTATTTATACCCTTTAAATATGATCCATGTAGAGAAGTCCAAAGTTATTAAATTTGTTCAGATAGTCCTTCAATCTATTCAGGAGCTGAGTGTACCTGGCACAAGCACCGAGTATTTCCTTTAGGTTTCTGAGCTAGAAGCAAGACTTGAGGTAAATGATTTTCTGCTATGATAATGATGATACTACCAGACGTCCTGAGTGGAAAAGGCCAGGGAGGTTCCGATTCTGACTCACGTTCTGATATTGTCTCTTTCTTTTTTAACCTAGGAAAACTCAGCTCAGATTCCGTCTGTGGTTTTCACCAAGAATACTGCTTTTCCCTTCTTCCCGCACAACTTTCCAGCCAGATTGACTGAACTGCAGAAAGGTCAGATGACTTACTTGGAGGGTAAGCTATGAGTCAGGAGCACAGCTAGCATTGAATCAAATCCTTTCCTGTCTTCCAGTCCAGCTGCTAGACAACACACAATTGCTTTCATTGACCAGAGAGCTCTAATGAAGTCAGCATTAGCTCGCGTGAGTCTCTGAACAGTGTTAGTGTTAGGAGTCCCTGAAAATCAGGCACCTTCCATTGGCAATCAATTTGGTATGTGACAAAGAGCAAACCTCGTGTCCCTTTCTTGACATGCCTTGTGTCCTGTCTGTGCATATTGCCATTTGCACACTTCAGTCACGCAGCTCTGCTCCCATTTGTATCAGGAGCCGTTGTACACAGCTCCATTTGGAGGCTGAACTACAGTCTTTATTCTCAACCTTCTGGTCTTAAGATCTTCAATGAGAGGTTAGCTGCCCCTCCTTTCCAGCTGAGAAGAGGGGAAAAGGCCTATTATTCTTTTTTTGTTATGAGATCACACTTGGGAAACTGTTCAGAAATGCTGGACAAGATAAGCTGAATAGTCCGTTTTGACCTTATACTCCATCAGTGTTTGGTTTTAGCTGACCTAATATGCATCTGCACAAATGCTAGATGTCTAGAAAATTTCCAAGAAAAATAACTAGAAATTAAGGCTGGAAAGAAGCTTGCGAAAGCATCTATTTTATCCTCACCTACGCCAGGATAGGCTTTAGCTACATCATTCCTAGCAGGTCAGTCAGCTTCAGGGACCTCCCAGAGCTACCTGTGATATCACTCACATTGTTAGACGTTAAGGAAACCTTTATTGCTTTATTGTTCTCCCTTTTTAAAATGAGAGTGTGGCACTTTCACGTATATGATGTAAATCAACCGAAAAATAGAACCCAGGCCTTTTGGAATGGCATTACAAAGTCAGTAAAAGTCACTTACAGGAGTAAATGTGTCTTCAGCAAGAATTCCCTCGTTCTTGTGGTGCTTCTTCTCTTTGTGCTAAATAATGCCTGTTTCTGCCTTTCACCTATTAAGGTCCTATTTTCAAAGATTTTCTAAGTATTATTCTATGAAACTGCCTGCACATGTGAAGAAAAAGTAATAGGAAAAAGAAATAGTTATCAAATGAGACTGAAGATCTGGCTTTTCAATTTTCCAAAGCCAGGAAATTCATACTGAATCATCTGACTCAATTTGCTGTGCTGTGCTGTGCTTCGGTGTTGTAGCTCATAAAGCACACAAGATAACCACTGGTCAGAGATCCTACAGTAACCCAGCAAAATGGGATGAATGGAGAATGACGTTCCTGCTATAAATCATCAGCCCTGTATGCACTGATGTATTATAGACAAGATTTGCGAAGCAGGGAAATACAGGACTATTACAGAATACCAGAAGGAACTTTTTAGAATGTCTCTTCTGCTGATAACTGGCTAGCATCTCAAGAAATACAATAATAACAATAACAATAATAATAAAAACCACCTTTAATATAGAGTCACCACGTAAATTAGAAATGAGAACAACTAATGTTAGATCATGTTTTCCATCCCCCCAACACTGTGGAATTGTTCCCTACAGCGTGTTCCTGAGTGTTTGTCCAGTCTTCTCTGAAGTAGCTTAAGCAACAGTGTTTCCATTGCTTCTCCTTGGAATCCTATCCGACCCTGTAGCAGATCTCCCTAATAGGAAATGTTGCTGTAAAGCATAAATTTTCCTGCTCTCAGTTCCATCTCATTAATCCCACTTATACCTCCTTCTCCAGTCCTAATCAATTCCTCTGCCTTTAAGTGTTTATATCCTCCTAAGACTTATGAGGAATTATCATATCCCACTTAGATATCATCCAGCCAAGATACTGCAAAGCCCATTCCCTTCATTTTCCTTCAGCCCACATCTAAGCCTTGGATCATTTTTTCCCCTCTCTGAAGTCCCTTCAGATTGTCATCGAGTTGCCCTCAATTTGAGCTGAAGAGAGCTCTGGTCCCTATACTGCAGCCGGAGACACAGAGATCGGGTTTCCAGAACGCTAGCAATCCCCAGCTTGCCACAAAGTCAGATGGAGACGAGTGGCCACGGAGACCACTCAGGAAGAAAAAGGAAATAAAGAAGAGTGACAGTTTGCAGGGGAAGAGTCATGTGAAACATCAGCAGAGCAGCATCAGCGGTGGCACAGAGGGAAAAGCCCCACTCCAGAAGTGCCCCCAGATGGTCACGCGCCAATGTCCGCGACCTCGTGAGCAGCAGCAACTCAGGTTAAGTGTGTGCTTTGCAGATGGACAAAGCCCAGTCTGTGTACAGGTTTTTTCCTTGTGGCTGTAAAATTCAGAGGTGGGAGAGAAACCTGGGCTGTATCATAGACTGCCGGTGGTCCGCCCCCTCCACCCAGCGCTGCAGACCGTCCAAAACATTGTCATTGCACCCCAGAAGGCAAGCAGGCCTGGGATAGATCCAGAACGGATTACAACATAATCCAATTCACAGGGAGGGGTATTTTTGAAAGAGGATTATGTGTTTTGTTTTGTTTTGTTTTGTTTTTTCCCTTCTGGCTGCCTTCCAGAAAATAAATAAATGCTGTAATTCTCATGTAATGTTTTTAGAAGGCATGGCGATGGAAAGAGAAGGCTCTTTTCCATGTCCATGTTAGAGAGCGGGAGGAAGAAAGCTGATTTTTTGCAGCAGTGTGCCAAGCAATCTCAGGATATGCGAGTCAGAAATGCTGGTGTTTCCCACTGCGCATTCAAGAACAGCATGAAACTGAAGAAAACGGTGCTGCATTTCTAATCAGAACAATGTAATACGGGTGTTGGGTCTGCATCCCAGCATCAAAAGGCCTCCTCCTGAACCCTTTATGACCTTCAGAGAGGTTTGCATAATTATCTTGATTAAAGGCACAGCACAATTTTAGTACCAAAGCCCACAAATTACCAAGGCCCGCATGTTTTGCAAAATAATACCGTTCATGTGATTATTTGTTTTGCTCTAATCATTTCTGAAATATTACTCCATTGCTTAGATTTAAATTGCTGGTTGTAACAGATAGCCAGTTTGCAAATAAAATATAAGTCCCTACAAAACTGTTTCTATTGCATGAGAAAATGTTATTGGATTTCCCTGGTGTTACAGTGCTTAGCTTGGTTATTTGTATTAAGGGGTACAACTGAATAAGGCCTGAAGCAAAAGTGTTTTCCAGTCTTGTGTGCTGTCATTTCACTGGGCCTTCTTCGGACTTTGCTTTCATCATTTTAGTAAGTTTAGTAAGTTAATCTCTGATTTTCAGGGTGGGAAACGCAATATAAACCAGACTAAGGATACAGGATAATAGGTAGCTGGACTTCCATATCCACGGAGAATTGGGTCTTCCTGCAGAGAGCACTCTGGGTTCTGCTTTCTTTCAGGTACCCATGGGGTGCACGTGGGATCTTTAATGAAGGGAACCACTATCCCACTTCTCCCTGGGAGGAGAGGTGGGGCGGCAGAGCACTGGAACAGGCTGCCCAGGGAGGTTGTGGAGTCTCCTTCTCTGGATATATTCAAGACCCTCCTGGAAACCTACTTGTGTGACCTGCTGTAGGGAACCTGCTTTGGCAGGGGGGTTGGACTTGATGATACCTGGAGGTCCCTTCCAACCCCTACGTTTCTGTGATTCTGTGATTCTGGGTCACCAAGGGTGGAAACCTTGGTGCAGGCAGTGCACCCCAAAGCATGGCCAGAGAGGAAATACCTGCCAGTTGAGGTCAACTATAGGCAGCCAGCCCTTCAAGCAGGTGACTCAGCTACCTTCTGCATGCTAAAAACAGTCTGTCTTGTTGTTTTCTCCCTACTCGCACAAGAGGCAGTAATTTCTCACTGCCTGAGGGTGGAGGTCAGAAGAATGCTCAGAATGTCCCAGGCCCAGACGGAGAGCTTTTTTTATAGGATCCTTTTCCTCTGCCAAGCACCATTTTTCCACACAGCTTTGGTATGGGGTGGCTGTGGGTCCCTGCTCATCCACGGGCCTATTTTGACTCTTTTCCTGACATATTCTCCACCTTTCAGTCGATGAAAAAAAATGAAATCAGGCAAGCGCTCTGAATGAACATGGTCCAGTTCATGTATATGCTCAGCTGTGTCAGGCTGAGTTTGCATCTAGCTTCTCCTCTGTCTGGCCCCTGGTTGCTTCCAGACCCTTGTCCACATGGTGCCTACAGCCCTCGCTGTCAGCTGTCCTGCTGCACAGATTTCTGCAACCCTCTGCTGTTAGCACACCCTCATTGCTGCAGAAAGATCTCGACTTAAGACCTTCATGTGTTAAACGAAATTAAGGAAGTTGCAAAATCTGTTGGTACAATAATAACAGTGGGTGTTCTTACAGAAACCAGTATAAGCTGGTTGAATGGCACATCTGGGATGGTTTTAAGAAGAAACTTGATTAATACCACAGATGACTGCTATTTAAAGCCGTTTTGATGCGTATTTGAGGGAGGTTCAGTTTACCCCTAAGAAAAAAGCAGGAGTTAATACAGACAGTGAGGGTACATGATCCCCTGGGCAGTGCTGATCGCTGCCCGTTTAGATCAGATATTTTAAAAGTAGGGAACTTGGTTAGAATAAATAGGAAAAAGTTCCAGCATGGCAAAAAGTGCAGGAGAACAGCAGTAAATCCCTCCCCTCTCAGATAAGAGATTTAACCTGAAGGTTTGGTGAGAAAGTATCGATTGGAAAGCAAAAGAGTGTGAATCTGCTGCAGCCCACTCTAAAAGGCTAACAAACAAACAAAATATCTTGCCCAAATGAATGTGCGTACAGTGATTACAAAGTGAGATTTAGTTTGAGAATGAAGTGGGCTGTGACAGCAGGTAAAAATCTGAGGGGACATGAGGATCAGAGCACAGTGATAAAAGCTGCTTGTTGAAGGCCATGTATGCCAGCTGAGTGCCCATAAAGAAGAATTTTGGAGCAGACAAATACATCTGGTTGGTCCTGGTTCCAGCGCTCCCATTGCAGAGACAGTCAGGGTTGAAGACAACGGCTGGAGGAACTTGGAACGACACTTCAGTAAAGCAGTGGGACCCCAGAGTACTCATGCGAAGGAAGTGAAGTGTGAAATATGTGGGATGCTGGCGCAGAGATGTTTTCTAAGTAATAAAATATAGCTGTTATTAACCAGCACTGGAAAACCCACACAGTGGCTATTTGTAAGAGTGGATCCTAGGAAGAAATCTTTCTCTTCACAGGGATAAACTTCACATTTACCCTTGGGGAAGGAGGAGGGCATTAGCAGTAGAGTGATGGACCGCATAGGAGGTTCAGCTGTGCTCTGTGCTGAAAGATCCTGAGCCAAGTACCTTGTGTTCAGCAGTACAAGAGGAGGAGTGGCAAATCCTCCATAACACACTCAAACTTCTAAGCTGCCTGGTGGCAATGGGTGCGTTCAGCAGGGAAAAGGATGGGATCTTCTCTCCGTAAGGGTAAGATCAGTGCAGCCTTTGGGACACACAGATATTAGGCAGTGCCCAATTCAGCATACTGAGTAGTTACAGCACCATATGGGAGGCAATGATATTGCAGCAATAGATGCAGTGAACTGCACTGTGATCAGCAGATGCAGCTCCTTCAGCTTTAATGGGCTTACTGCAGTTTCACACCAAATGAAGTGAAATGATGTAGTGATACAGTACGCCTGTATTAAGCAATGAAAGACTTGAATGTATGTGATACTTTCATTTCGCTCTCTTTTCTTCTTTCCATTAAAATACCTGCATGTGCTGTGCTGAGAATTGTTTTATTCCTATCAGTGGTTGCTGTTCTATTTGCTGTGAGATGCATGTGGGTTCCTATGCCAGAAACAGGCATGGCACAGCTCTGACTGGGAGCTCTGTCAGCTCTTCTCTGAGGAATTTCACAGCAGTTTTGGACACATTTATCTTCACTGAGAGTTGAAGGGAAAAAACAACAATAACAACAACAAAAAAGCATCATGTGTGCACAGAAAAGACAATTTTTCCAAACTTGATTAATCTCACATTGCCCTCACTGTGCAGACCCCAGCTCCTGCAAATGGAGTGGAGCTGGGGAAAAAAGAAATGCGAGGAAACCAAGCTGAGAATCAGTGGAGGAAATGAGGAGGCAACAAGCTAGGGAGAGTGGAGCAGTGATGGGTAGGCAGGCTGTGGTAGCAGCACTGCTTTTAGGAAGGAAGAAAGCTGGGGGAAATATTCCTTTGCAGATAAAAAAAGACTCCAGGATGTGGAGCTGTGCTGACTTTCCTCAGCATGAGAACATGCTCTTCACATAGCTGTGTACCGAGCCAATCCCTTGCCTGAAAGACAGGGAGGAAAATGGTATTAATCAGAAAGACAGGGAGCAAAATGGAGCAAGGTGAGTAGGGAAGATGAGAAGCAACAGAGAAGGTAAGGGCTGAAGAAAGCAGCAAGAAGTCATTCCATGGTCCTCCTCCTTCTTTTGCCTCCTGCCTGGCTGTGGCTGGAGCACATCTGATGTGTAGGCAGCACTCAGGGCCCAGGAATTTGTATGGCCTCGATATTTGCAAGTTAGTAGGGATGCTTTTGTCTCGCCAGTATGAGAAACAGCATGAAAGAGTTCAGGCCTGGAAGGCAGTCATATATTTGGGAAATTGTCTTTGGAGTTGACTGTATGGTCCAATATAACTTTAAAGAGGACAGTATGCTATTGCTTTACTTTTATTTTGGCCATGGCTAAACAAAGAAAATATGTTGCAAATATGAGAGGTATCTACTTTCAGCTTTGCAGACTTAAAAAGACTGATCGTCTGGATAAAAATCAAAGCTTGGGATTTCATATTCCTGTAGGGTGCTTGGATGAAACATGAAAAAGAGTTGCCTTTAAAAAGTCCTTTGTGCATAAAGACGTTGCTGACTCCTCCAGCTGCCCTTGCAGCTGATAGCTGCCTGTCAGTTTGAAGTCAAGTGGAGTCTGAGGGGGTAAGGAGATGTGATGTGCTCACAGGAAGCAGAGCAGTTTCACTGTGAGAACGTCTGCTCTGCTTCTTCCTCTTTGCCACGTTGTCCTTCCTCTGGAGCTCACTGATTCTGCATCATCATTTCGGTTTCATGTACTTCTGCCAGACCGCATGATCTGTCAGATCACTTGATTTGGTGAACAAAGGCAGAAAATGGGAAGCTTGATGGCAGTACACGAAAATGAGAAGATGGTCATTGCACTAGTGATGCCCTTGTGAGTCTTGGAGAACCCATGACGTAGGACAGCAGCATGAGAATCATTGCTGCAGTCACCTGGATAGACACAGCATCCGTGCAACAGCAAGGGCCAGGGCACACACCTCTGTACAGCTGCAGAAGGGAAAATGAAGCATTTGTTCTGCTCTGAGCAACAGACAGGGTCAGCAGAGGTGGTGTGGGCCTGCCTGAAAAGATTTTTTGGGTTTTTTTCAAACGTTTTAGTCTGTTCTGTAGTACCATCACCAGTAACTTGCCTTTGTACGTAGCAGCATGCAGCACTGCACTTACCCCAGAGTGATCCTTAATCATGACATTATTCTCTAATATGTCAAATGCTGCTAGGAAGCTGGTCCTCAGTGGGAACTAGCTGTGTGGAAGGTTTCAGCTCTTTGAGTTTAGCTGTTTTTAATTATCCACATAGATAAGTGTAGACATTTATTTTCTTTGAACTAGAAAAGGTTTATTTTCTATTTTTAACCCCTGAAGACAGCTGACTATTCCAAATGAAACTCCTTGGTCCAGAAATAGCCTTTTCTTAATTTATTTCTGTCCTATGAGGACCAAACATAGTTCCTTAGGCATCAAGCATTAACCCATGCTTACTCAGTTCAGCTTGATCATATTCAGACCAGTTTTGTGTAGATTAGTAAGAACATAATATTTCAGTGGGGCACTGAGCAGTTGCAGCTGTCTTTTAGGAGGGAATCCTGCAGCATCACTCACAAATCAAGGCACAGTGTGATTCTTTTCTGGATACATGCTACTCAACAGGTATGAGGGTGATGAGATCTGCTTCAAAACAAACACGTATGACCAATTTTCTGAAAGGGCTCAGCGTGTTACCATTAACGTCACAATGGGGAGAGGCTGCGTGCTAA